TGGGCCGTTGCCATGTCAGTGCAGGGGCGGCGGTGCGAGTGGCTCATAAGATGGTTGGCCATGGCGGCGAGGTTTCGGAAGTGAGGGCCAGAGTTGCGGCCAAGCTGGTGGCAGATGACAGAGTGCTGGCGCTATTTCGCGGGGAGGCTGCTGCAAAACAAAGGAAAACCATGTACACTATGCTTTGGAATTGGTGACTATACTCGCATTCCTTCCCTCTAATCAATTTCTTATCAATCCACATGAGTCGTGGAGCATAGTTTAGTCGATAAGATTAAAGGGAGGGTTGGAATTTTCTAGTTGTAATGGAAAATTATGTGGTTAGTAGCTTCTGCGTTGATAACCTTAATGAACAGTAAGACAATAGGGAAATTTACATATGTTCTTGATTTTGTTGAAGAGCAAATTGAGTTATGACTGCCACGAAAGATGTTCTAATTTCTAAAGATAGATTTAAGTTTTATTCTACTCCTTCAAATTCTTATGTTTATTTCACTTTTTTGTCTTTAAGTTTTCAAACCATGAAAATCATTTTTAGTGCTTGGTGTGCTGAGTTTTTAAATTAAATATTAAGGCTGTGTTTGTTTTTATTTAATAGGTCTTGAGTTGTGTTCTAAAATGAATTCAAATTTTAGTTAAAATGATGAAAGGAAGAAATAACTACGATGATTAAACTGGTAGGGTTAAAATAGAACATTTAAAAGTTCAAGGATTTGAATAAGTTGTGAACCCGAATATATTTAAGTGGATGAGACGCTCGTTACCATTCTAAAGTTGAACTAGGACGAAATAAGTTTAAGTTTAGGTGATATAAATTATTGGTATTTCTCATTTGTAGAACTTATTTTGTTATTCCCTACCTTATTTTTGCAGTGCCGCAGATCATTTTCGGTCAAAAGGTTACGAGATCAGTGCTGAGATGTTTGAAAAATCAATGCTTTACATTCCATATGACATTGAAAATAGAAGTCATCGGACCAAAGGCTTTCGAGTTTTATGTCTTTGTTATCTTGGTCTTTCTCTGCTCGATCGAGCTCAAGAATATGTCAATGAGGCTGAAAAGGTACGATCATCAAAGGAAGCTGAAACTTAATGTCAATTTCAAAGAACCCGGGTCTTAAATTTTTCACCACCTCAAATAATATTTATAGTGCTTCAAATCCTATCTTCTTTTCTGCAGCTAGAACCCAGCATAGCTTGTGCTTTTCTGAAGGTACTCACTCTCCCCCCATAACACCTCTCATGTATCATATAAGATTATTAGGTCTATCTTTCGTGATTTTTCTCTTAAGGTTATTTGGTTTTTGTTTTTTAAAATTAAGCTTAGAAATATTATTTCCACTTTGTGTTTCATGGTTTGTTATCTATTTTTAAAAATATATTTTTAAAATTTCAGCCAAACTTTGAAGACTAGAAAAAATTAGTTTTTAAAAATTTATTTTTATTTTTGGAATTGGGCTAAGAATTCTGTATGGAAGATTGAAAACATAAAAAAATATGAGCAATCAAGTATAATTTTTAAAATCAGTAAATCAAGAAACAAAATGATTATCTGATGATTGATTGAACTTGATACTTGCCACTATGCAGTTCAAAATCTTTCTTCTAAAGAATGATAATACGGCGGCCATCAATCAGATCCAATCCATGATGTCCTGCCTTGATTTTACGCCAGATTTTCTCTCACTCTCTGCTCATGAAGCTGTTGCTTGCCGAGCTTTTCCTGTGGCAGTTGCCTCTCTTTCGAGCCTATTAGGTTTTTATTCTCCAGGAAAACCTATGCCAGCAAGAGAAGTTGTAGTACTACGTACCTTAGTAACCATCCTCACCCAAGAAACCAGCGATGATTTAGAAATCCTCAAAGCTATGAAACGCGCTTGTGAGAGGGCAATGGAACTTGGGTCTGGTTGCTTCTTTGGAGAAGGGGAAGTAGGAAGGCGGGAACAAAACTGGTTTGCTGTGACTTGTTGGAACTTTGGAACAAGAATGGGGAGGGAGAGGAAATTTGAATTATGCGCTGAATTTCTGCAGTTGGCTTCCAACTTTTACTCTGCTTTGGCTGATGAAGAACAAGCGGAAGAAAACAATGTCTTGGTTTTCAGATCACTAACTCTGGCTGCAACTGCTATGATAGCTTCTGAAGAACAGACAAAGGTCACACTGACAAACGCCAGAGTCAAACAAGCCAAAGAATTGTTAGGTAGAGCTGGTAAGGTAAGGACTATTCAATTCTTTTTTTGTTTGTTTGTTTGACTGATTATTGTTAATTAGGGTGTAAATTGGTCAGTCAAGTCAGTTTAATGCTGAAAAACTGGTTTTTGTTGACTGAGATCAATCATCTGACCAGAACTTATTGAACCGACTCAACTCACAAAATTGACATGATCAACCATTTTTCAGTTTTATACTTTTGAAAATTGAATCTACCAATAAACATACTCAAAGTTCAATTAGCTTTCTAGTTTTTTTTTTTTTTCAAATTATGTCTTGCAGTTGCTTTTATGTATATTATGTTTTGTCTTTCTACCCATTGTGATTGAGAATCTTCTATTCATGGAGATTTTCAATTTTATATTTCCAAAAACTGAATTTCAAACTGACTTAACTAACTTAGGTCACATTTGACACCATTTTATGGTTCTGTTTTGAATCTTTGGTCTATAAGGTATAAACTTCTATTTAACACTATTTATACTCTCTGTTTTGTTTTATTATCTACTTTTCAAAAATATTTTTAAAAGCTTAGATGCTAAAAACTAAGAATCTTAGAAACTCTATTTTGCTAAAAATTCAAATATATTTGCAAGAATGAAAAAAAACAAAAAACAAAAATCCATGGTGGTCACTATCTTGGGTAATATATTCGTACCGCTAGGTAGTTGTCCTGTGATATTAGTTGAGGTGCACATAAGTTTCTTCAGATCCTCATAGACATGAAAAAGAAAAGAGTAAAGAGTAGACATAAGCTTAAAAACAGAAAACTGTTACCCAATGGACCTCTCAGTTGAGAGTTTTTTAGTCTTTCCACTTTTGTTCATGCAGATCATGAAGCTGATTTCCACAGAGAAGCAAGTGAACAACAACGAAGACATTCAGCGCCTAGAGGCAGAAAACTTGTTCATCTACACAGTCAGTGCCTACGACATCCATGGAAGGCTGAACGATCCAGTATCCCAACAACACGTAGTGAAAAGCTTCGCCATCTCCAAGGTCTGCAATCCCAAATATCTGCTTCAAATCGGGCTCTACGCCTTGCAGGGCCCTCGATTGAATCTAGAAGCAGCCAATTTCGCACTCAACGAGTGCCTATCAGCACTCCTCTCTTCCCCATCGCCAGATTTTCATAACATTGCTCTTGTTTTCCGGAAGCTAATCGCCATGACAAGCATTAACAAAGGCGAAACAGATGATTCAGTGTATGAAATGTACAGGCGAGGTTATAGGATAATGGTGGGGCTGAAGGAAGGGGAGTATCCGTTGGAAGAGGGGAAATGGCTTGCCATGACAGCGTGGAACCGGGCAGGTGTGCCCGTGAGGATGGGGCAGACTGACGTGGCAAAGAAATGGATGGATTTGGGGCTGGAAATAGCGAGGCATGTTGGAGGAATGGAGAATTACAGGACGTGCATGGAGGAGTTCGTTAATGGCTTCCAGAACAAGGTCTCAATGCACACAGAATGATGCTTGACATTGTAAGTATCGGATTTATGCTATTTGATTTCTTTTGGATACATGAATATTGGCATAGTAAAAGAGAATTAGAAGCATAGCTGAAACAGTAGATAGGTGGAAGACAAATCTTCGTTCAATAGTTCAAAGAAATGGGATGAAAATATAAGCTGTGGATAAAAAGAGTTATGGAATGTTGAGTTATTTGTTGCAAGGTGGAGAGTTCTTCCAATAAAAGAAATGATGTAAAGTTGTAGGAAATTATTGAAAATTTGTGACCATAAGTAGTAATGTGCAATGAAACCCTCCAAGGGAGTGTTGGATGAATAAGATACATGGTTTTGGTGACGCCCTCGTATTTTTATTTATGTTTCTTCCTTTCTAATATAAAGATCCTAATATCCGTATATTCAAAAATGATAAAACTATATTTTTTTATTTATGTTTTGGAACAAATTATAAATCGGAACAAGAAACAAAAAACTTGTTTTGGTTGTATTCAATATTTCTAAAAATGGAGAAATAAGGAAAATAAATAACTGTGAAATGCTTAGATTTGTTAATAAAATTAGAAATGGAAAATCAAAAACAAGAAACGAGAATGTCTATCAAATGAGTATTTAGATTTGAAGAAACTTTAGTATGTAGTGTAGGTTCAAGAAGTACGGGTTTAGAATAGTGTGATTAGAGTGCTAAAACAGTATGATGTAAGCTTTGGATTTTGAAGAATCGGCTCTTCAATGATACATCCCTCCTTTTCAATAGGTATTTTTTAACAAAATGTTTATTTTCGTTCACTTCAAATTAATATGGGATCCACAATCTTCATAATTTCTATTAAACTAAAGGTTGGACTTGAAATTTGTTTAAATTTCTCCTTTTCACATTTATTTTATATAAATACTTTAACAGCGCCTACCTAAGAACTATTTTATTTGTAAATAACATAAGGTTGTTCACGTTTAAATCATGTACTCAACCTATAAGAAAGATGGGGAAATATGAGAAAGATGGGGAAGTTGAGACTCTAATAATTCATTTTGGATTTATAACCCTCTTTTGAAAAAAAAAAATTATTTGTGATCCCACTCTTCTTTTTTTTTTTTATCTATTTCATAATTTTTAAATGTAAAATTACTATAGTATCCTTGTGTTTCAAAATCGACGATCTCTCCCTTCTCATTATAAAAAACAAATTTCTTTTCAACCTTTATTCATTCCACAAATCTCTTACGATAATTCATTACAAGCTTAAAAAATCTAACTTTTAAACTTGAAAAATCAATTACAAATAAAAAACAATCTAACTCAAATAGTTAATTAGAATTTTAATATGGAAAAAATCGATAAAAAAAAAGTTGAAATTACTAAATGGAATATTAGATATTTAATTGTTTAATATAGAAAATCGAATGTATATAATTACATAAGATTTGTCTGAATTTAATTACAAAAAAAATATCAAGATTTCATAAATCTCGAGCCAATATTGCATTAAATGCTCAAGATTTAATTAACAATAAGAGGGCCAATAAGAGAGAGAAGACAAAAAAAAAATTGGTGCTGATCCCGGTTCGGGATAGCACAAACCGGACCAGGATTGAAAAATCCTCCTTTCCCAATTGGTAATTGATTCTTAAATTAAAATGTTGATTTTTTTTCATATTAGATTCAAATTAAAAAAGAAATTCAGGGTTAAGGGGAGAGATTGATGGATAATTTTACTTTAAAAACAAGGATATTTTGATAAATTTACAAAGATAAAAAGTGGAAAATGGTCACAAATTATAATAAAGGGGTCACAAATTAGTTTTTTTTTTTTCAAAAGGGGGTCATAAATCTAAAATGAATTATTGGAGGGTTATAAATCTCAATTTCTCAAAAAGATGAGTCAAAATAGAAGAGTTAAAAGAAATTATAAATAATATTTAAAAAATAGAATGTCCTACTTGGATTTATACAAAAAAAAAAAGTAATTTAATTTAGATTAAATAACACTTTTAGTCCCTGTACTTCAGTTGAAGTAACGATTTAATTCCTGAACTTTCAAAAGTAACAATTTAGTTCCTATACTTTCAAATTGGTAACAACTTAGTTTCTGAAATTTAGAATGTAACAATTTAGTCTTTGAAGTTCAAAGTTTGTAATGATTTAATCTCCATTGTGAAGTTTTTTGGTTAATTTTTATATATGTAGACCGATAAACACTTAATTTTGATGAGAATTTTCATGATTAGAACTAAATTATTACAAATCAAATGTGTTTTTTAATCTTTAATTTACCCCAGTATGTTCCCATGGTACTCACAAACTTTTAAGGATAAAAAGTAAACTTTCAAATTTGATAAGAAAAATTTTATCTGTAAAATTTGATTATAAAAATTAAGTTYTCAAAATTTCATAAGGGACAATGTTAGAGAAAGCAGGGGGAGAATGAGGGAAAATTGACTTAAATGACATTTAAAGGTTCGTGGAATGCTCAAATGACTCACCCCTGCTTATGGGAGGGAAATTGACTCAAATGACTTTCAAAAGTTTATAGAATTCTCAAATGACTCACCCCTTCAAAATGTGCCCAAATGACCCACTTTAATATTTAATTAAATTTAAAAGGAAGTGAAATTACAATACTACCCTTTAATTCAAAAAATCAGACTGTTCACTCCCCTTTCTCTCCATTTTCGCTCCCCTTTTTCTTGGAAATTTGTTTTGAAACAAAGTGAAAGAAGTTAATTTAATCTTCGAGGTAAGTTTCATTTCTTTTAATTTTTCCATTGTTCCATCGATTTGAATGGTTAGGGTTTCGTTTTTTGTGTGTCGAGGAGTTGAATGACATTTTTGTCCGTCGATTCTTGTTTCATATGTTTAGATGAACGAATACATGAATGTTAATGCATCTATTTAGGTATTTTTCGATCGATTTCGTTGTCCGGTTATACTTTTTTTTCGTTCCATGTTATTTGTTGATTTTCCCTTTATTATTGTTTTGTTGAAATTGAGGTATGTGGGAGGATACGTTGATAGTATTTCAGTTGTGTGGTGGGAGGTTGAAGAAGAAGAAGGAACGTCACTCTTGTTAAGCATCTGTTATTTTTCTCAAGTTCGACCTCGGGCGAGGTTAAGCCCGAGTTATTTTAAGAGGCTCAACCTCAAGGTTACCTCGAGGTTCAGCCCGAGGTATTTGAAAGATGTTCAACCTTGAGGTTCAACCTCTTCCGAATACCTCGAGCTCAACCTTGCCGAGGTCGAACCCGAGAAAAATAACAAGAGAGTACAAACTCTCGAGCGACTTTCAAATTTTAATCCTCGCTGCAGCTTTCTAAGCATATGGAAAAGTCCTCAGTCTCAACCTCGGGCGAGACAACGCCTAAGAAACTTTTCAGAGGCCTAAAACCTCGAGTAAGGTTTGAAATTTCTTCCAAACATCGCTCGAGATTGAGTGTCTTTCAATTACCTCGGGCTCAACCTCGCTCGAGGTTCATCTGACTTCGCCCGAGTTCGCCCTTCTTCTTCAACCTCCCACCACAAATATTTCAAATAAATCTCACATCCTCACACACAGAGACTAAGACCTCAAAATTGACATAAGAATATACTCAAAAATCAAGAACAAGGAACACACAAACAATAATCAGTTTTCCTATTTTTCAAAACATGAAATATGCGAGAAACAAAACTTAAATTGATCCAATATAATTCGTGTATTCATTCATCCAAACACCGGAAAAAAGAATCGACGGAGAAACAAAACATTCAACTCCTTAACAGCGATGAAAATCGAAGCCCTAACATTCAAATCAATGGAAAAGAACAAAAATTAACAGAGAAGGGATGAACGGAAGCGATTTCGAACAAAGAAGACGATAGAACAGAAGCGATTTTGAACGGAGAAGGAGAAGAGAAAGAGACGTCCGATAAATGGTTTGATTTTTGAACATATGGGTAATAGTGTAATTTCATTTCCTTTTAAATTCAATTAAATATTAAAGTGGGTCACCCAAGCACATTTTGAAAGAGGTGGTCATTTGAGCATTCCAAAAACTTACGAAGGTTATTTGAGCCAATTTCCCCTTATGTGACTTATTTTAAGCATTAATGATGTGTCAGAGGAGATGAAATGACCATAATGCCCTTAATTATAAAACATGACCGTTGGAAAAAACCTTGGTCGAGGTCATATTAATTTTCGCTCCAGACTCATTTAATTCATAACAACCATTGTACAATCCTACAAATCTGTATCATTGCTAAGTTTTATCCAACCAATCTGTACATCTCATTATTGATCTCAGAGAACAAATGTCTTTTTCGTGAATATTCTCTCTGCACAATGCTACAAAATCTTAAAAGTGTCTGTATTGTGAATATTCTCTTTGGAATTTGAAGATTTTGAGAGAGGTAGTCAATTTTGTCGCTTTCGATTTCTTCTTAAGATTGGACTCTATTTGAAAAACAATTTGCAGTTTTGTTTGCTTTGATTTTGAAAGAGGTTGTCATTTTTAAACTTAGTTTCGTATTTTGGCATGATTATGTGAAGGTTGACTATGAATCTCTTGCGGGAGTTATGGTTTCTCGGTCGAGTTTCATAAGAAACGATGAACCTCAGGTGGGGTTTCATAGGTTCCGCTCAAGGTCAACGGTTAGTGATAGCAAAAGTTGATGCGACCTTACCCTGGGCGTGGTGTTGGATTTCATTAACCCCGAGTGGGAAAATGGAGACCCTACCCTAGGTTTTGTTATTTTACAGTTGGTTTGTTTTTTTGATCTCTAATTTTCTTGTACTTGTGCTTTGTCATTTGCATAATAGAATGATTCATCTTTTTGTTATCTATGAGGTCAGTGGAATAAGATAAACATTGTGTATGAAGGTGGGGTTATGGATGGTTTAGATGTTGACGAAAGCATAACATATAGAGACTTCATAAGTGCGATCTTTAGGCTTACTCGAATAAATCCTCACATTTTCAATATTGTTTTATAATGTGTTTACAAATTCGATCTCCAGTACCAAGTGTCGAACTATTATATCTTTGAAGATACTAGTGCACAATGCTTGAATTTGTAGATACATTGTAAAACAATATTGAAAAGGTCAGGATTTATTCGAGTAAGCCTAAAGATCGCATTTTCGAGGTCTTTATATGTTATGCTTTCATCAACATCTAAACCATCCATAACCCCATCTTCATACACAATGCCTATCTTATTCCACTTACCCTATAGATAACAAAAAGATGAATCATTTTATTATGTAAATGACAAAGCACAAGTACAAGAAAATTAGAGATGAAAAAAACAAACCAACTGTAAAATAACAAAACCTAGGGTGGGGTCTCCATTTTCCCACC